GGCAGGAGGCCCCGCCCACTTCCCCGGACGTTTCTGCTCATGCAAGTGTGTATGGGAGCGCGCCCGAACCAGTAGTAAAAATATTTGCAACCCACCACTGGACTAGCCACACCAGAGAGCAAACTCTAGCCAGTGTTTATAGCTATCTATATCTTAATCTCTTTTTAACTCTGCCCACTTCACGGTGCAGGCTCTCTTGAGGCAAATCACTGGACTAGAAGCCCTGAACTCACACATTTAGCAAGATGTTTTCCATCGGTCTGAAGTCAGCCAAAGAACCTACCGATAAAAAGTACATTCAGGAAAGGCTGCATACAGAGAACTGCCGGAGCTACTACAATATTTTACTCTTTATTCTTAAAATATGTTCCAAGCATGCAGTTTACTATTGATGTCAGGCATGGCAAACCTTTGAGGCTCAGTGGATCAAATATTCGGAAAATGCCTAATGATTCTGCTGGTGTGTAAAACCTCTCCCCCCCCCCCCCCGAATAAAAGAGTAACAATTCTTTAGCAAGAAACAGTATTGCAAGAGATAGTGGGAAAACCATGTTTAACTGGCTTCAATGTGCATTAAAAAAAAAGACAGTTGATTATTTTGGGGAAAATTACCCGATCTTGAAAAGTTGTCACTTAAAAAAATCAGAATGGCTGTAGAACAAGAAAATGGAAATAATTGTGAATATTCTCCATTAGACTTCTACAAAAGTAAGCGAGCCTCAACAGTGCAAGGCTTGGTGGAACCTGGTGACCATTTTCAGACAACTCTGCTGACTGGTGTCCTTCACCCAGTTACTTTCCTCCATTCCATTCATTGCTGGGGGGGCGCATCAGTTATCTGGCCACTATATCTAAATCAAGTCTTCCCAGCTGCTGCCAAAAAGTCTAGGATTCCTGGGCCTCAGTTTTGCTGGAGGGGAGATCTTGCACTGGCATAATCACCACCAATCCACCATGGACAACATTAGGGGCCTGGATGTATCTACTATGTTCTCTTTTTCAATGTTTCTATGTGACTCTAGTGGTAAAAGCCAAAAAACCACAAAGATGGAATTCCTAGAATGTTCATGTTGACTCTAACACTAGGCTATGGAAGATAGACATATTAGTTAACCTTCAGGTCAGCTATGTGGACAATACAGTTTAAACATTGTGTGTTCTGTACACTCAAGCACAGGCTACTTGATTTCCAGAAAACTCAAGCTGCTTGATTTAAAAATAAACTTTCTTAGGGCTAATGGGTAGGCGCCAATCATACCAGTTTTTCTGTTCACACAACTCACTACCTCTCATGACTCAGTTATGCATGTTGGGAGAACCTGACTGTTATGCAGTCATCTGGCTGAATAAATAGACTTGAACAGAAAATAAAAAAATCAGGTGGAGGGGGACTTTCTTTTTCGACTGATGTTCCTGAAGCAGCATCTTGAAGTGGAAGCTATATTTCTATCTGTCAGTTTTTGATTTTGTCCAACTT